GGTTTGGGGGGTTTAAGGGGGTTTTGGGGAGGGTTTTCACCTTCATCGTCGCTGGATTTGCTGAGCTGCTTCACCAGTTTGGCTGTGTTGTTCTGGAAGTACACGGAGGGGACAGAAGTCACCCAAAACCCACCCAAAATGAACCCAAAGGGACCCAAAAAGCACCCAGAGGGACCCAAAAACCATCATGTGGGGACAAAAGTCACCCAAAAAGGTCCCAAAAAGCACCCCGAAGGACCCAAAGGGACCCAAAAGCACCAAAAGAGACCCAAAACCCACCCAAAGCAACCCAAAAAGACACCAAAACCACCCCAAAAGCACCCAGAGGGACCCAAAAACCACCCCAAAGGAGGCAAAGGGACCCCAAAACCACCCAAAAGGACCCCAGAGGGACTCAACCCCCCCAAAAACCGCTCAAAGGGACCCAAAAAGAACCCAAAAACCATCATGTGGGGACAAAAGGACTCAAAAACCACCCCAAGCCACCCATTGGGACCCAAAAATCACCCAAAGAGACCCAAAAAGCACCCATGGGGACGCAAAACGGACCCCAAAACCACCCAGAGGGACCCAAAAGGACCCAAAATCCAGCCCAAAGGACCCAAAAAGGACCCAGAGGGACACAAAAACTACCCAAACAACCCCCAAAACTGCCCAAAGTGACCCAAAAGCACCAAAAAAGACCCAAAACCCACCCAAAGCCAACCAAAGGGACCCCAAAACCACCCAAAGGGACCCAAAAACCACCCAAAGGGACCCAAAAGAACACAAAAACCATCATGTGGGGACACAAGCCACCCAAAAACCACCATGAAGGAACAAAAGCCACCCCAAAGGACTCAAAAAGCACTCAAGGGAGACAAAAGCCACCCAAAAATGGTTGAAAAACCACCCAGAGGGACCCAAAATCCACCCCAAAGGACCCAAAAAGGACCCAGAGGGAGCCAAAAACCACCCAGAGGGACTCAAAAACCACCCCAAACTGCCCAAAGGGACCCAAAAGGACCCCAAAAGCACCCAGAGGGACCCAAAAGGACCCAAAATCCACCCCAAAGGACCCAAAAAGGACCCAGAGGGACTCAAAAACCACCCTAAACTGCCCAAAGGGACCCAAAAGGACCCCAAAAGCACCCAGAGGGACCCAAACCTCCCCCAAAATGACCCCAAAGCCCGCACCTGCTTGAGGTGGTCGACGGTGAGGGGCAGGTGCTGCAGGGTGAGCAGGATCTGCTGCAGGAAGGGGACGTTGTTGGTGGCCTTGGAGCCCGTCAGCCACGTGTTGAGCAGCTTGTACCCCCCGAGGCGGATGAATCTGGGCCGAAAACGGTGAAAATCGGTTAAAAACCCCTCAGGGAATTTGGGGGGGGACCCTTCAATTCACCCCCGGCCGCCATCTTACTTGGCTAAGATGTCCTGCGCCCGTGTCTGCAGGAGGATGTTCAGGTAGATGCAGCGGCTCACCATCTTCTGCGAGTCCTTCATCAGGCTAATTAGGGAGTAATTAGGGTCAGGAACCCTCGGGGTAGGGGCTGAGGGGGGTTGGGGATTCATTTTGGGGACTCACTTGAAGATTTTGGTGATGCCCTCCGTGCTCTTGACCTCGCCATCGCGGCCCAGGAAGCAATCCAAGTCATTCAGGAGCTCCTTGGGGTCGATGGGGCCCGAGCCCATGGCAGGAAAACCCTGAGGGGGGACACAGATGAAAAACGGGGGCGTTAGGACACAGGGGACACCCCTCCGAATTTTTAGGGACCCCCCCCCAAAGATCTGTGGTCCCCCTAAACCCAGAGGTTGTGGCCCCAAAGCTGAGGCGGCCGTGAGGGAGGCGGCCTGAGGAGCGCTGAGGGAGGGGAAAAAGGCGGGAAACGGGGAAAAGGGCGGGAAAGGGGGAAAGGGCGGGAAATGGACACACACAGGGGAAATGAGGCTAAAAAGGGGGAAAATGGCCCCCAAAAGGGGGAAAATGGCCCCCAAAAGGGGGAAAATGGCCCCCAAAAATGAGGGGGGAAGAGACCTAAAAAGGGGGGGAAATTACCCAAAAAATGAGGGAAAAAACCCCCCAAAATGATGGAAAATGACCCAAGAAAGGGGGAGAAAATGACCAAAAATGGAAAATGGCCCAAAAAGGGGAAAATGAGCCCAAAAAACAGGGAAAAGTGGCCCAAAAATGGGGAATATGGCAAAAAAATGGGGAAAATAATCCAAAAATGCGGAAAATAATCCAAAAATGGGGAAAATAATCCAAAAAAGAAGGGGAAAAAACAGCCCAAAAAAGCGAAGAAAAACCAAAGGGAGGAAAATAACCCAAAAAGGGGGAAATAACCCAAAAAGGTAGAAAAATCACCCCCAAAAAGGGAAATATCGCCAAAAAATGGGAAATAATCCAACAAAAAGAGGAAAATAACCCAAAAAGGGAGGAAATAACCAAAAAAAGGGGGGAAATGGCCCAAAAAGGGAGAAAAATAACCCCCAACAAAAGGGAAAATGAGCCAAAAAATGGGGAAAACGGCCCAAAGGAGAAAAAAGACCCCAAAAGGGGGGAATAATCAAAAAAAAGGGGGGAAATCACCTAAAAAGAAAGGAACATCACCCAAAAAAGGGGAAAATAACCCAAAAATGAAGAAAAGAACCCCACAGAAGGGGGAAATGGCCCAAAAAAGGGGGGGAATGGCCAAAAAAAGGGGGAAATCGAACAAAAAAGGGAGAAAAATCACCCAAAAAAGGAGAAATAACCCAACCACAAAAGGGAAAATAACCTTAAAATGGGGGAAATTGCCCAAAAACTGAGGGAAAAATGACCCCAAAAAGGAGAAAAGAACCCCAAAAAAAAGGGGAAAATGGCCCAAGAAAGGGCAAAAATGGTCCAAAAAGGAGGGAAAATGAACCACAAAAGGGGAAAGAACCCAAAAAAAGGAGACACAACATCAAAAAAAGAGGAAATGGGCCAAAATAGGAGGAAATTACCTCAAAAATTGGGAAAGTTGCCTCAGAAAGGGAGGGGAAATGGCCCCAAGATGGGAAATTACAACAGAAAAGGCGGGAAACTGCCCCAAGATGGGAAACGAGCACAAAAATGGAGAAAAATAGCACCAAAAGTGGGGAAATGACCCAAAAAAGAGGGAAATGAGGCCCAAAAAGGTGAGAAACGATCACAAAAGTGGAGAAAATGACCCAAAAATGAGAGAAATTACTCGAAAAGGTGGGGGGAAAGGAGGCCTAAGAAGGGAGGGAAAACAGCGCCTGAAAAGGGAGGGAAAACACGACCCCAAAAAGGGGTAAAATTACCCTAAGAGGAGGAAAACAACCCAAAACCAGGAGGAAATGAGCCCAAAAAATGGGAAATTACCCCAAAAAGGAGAGAAACGACCCCAAAAAGGAGGAAAACGACCCAGAAAAGGCGGGAAACGGCCCCAAAAGATGGCGGACACAAAGGAGGGGTCCTGAGGTAACAGAGCCACCTCCCCACCCCCATAAAGGGGGCCTGTGCTCCCGCTCCCTGAAATATGGGGGCCTCTGTGCCCCCCCCAAGCTTTTAACTACCTTAATTAATTAACTTTAATTAATAGATCAATTCTTAAC